GGGCGGGCGTGGTGGTCGTGTTTATTGCTAACCGGAGAGGGAGGGCGTGAGTGTGACGTCAGCTGGGTGGGCAGCTGCTATTTTGGCACTGCGATCTAGTTAGGCAGGGTTGTGCAAGGTTGCTGCTACAGGGTGAGGGCTTGTACAAGGTTGCTGCTACAAGGTGAGGGCTTGTACAAGGTTGATGCTACAAGGTGAGGGCTTGTACAAGGTTGCTGCTACAAGGTGAGGGCTTGTACAAGGTTGCTGCTACAAGGTGAGGGCTTGTACAAGGTTGCTGCTACAAGGTGAGGGCTTGTACAAGGTTGCTGCTACAGGGTGAGGGCTTGTACAAGGTTGCTGCTACAAGGTGAGGGCTTGTACAAGGTTGCTGCTACAAGGTTGATGCTACAAGGTGAGGGCTTGTACAAGGTTGATGCTACAAGGTGAGGGCTTGTACAAGGTTACTGCTACAAGGTGAGGGCTTGTACAAGGTTACTGCTACAAGGTGAGGGCTTGTACAAGGTTACTGCTACAAGGTGAGGGCTTGTACAAGGTTGATGCTACAGGGTGAGGGCTTGTACAAGGTTACTGCTACAAGGTGAGGGCTTGTACAAGGTTACTGCTACAAGGTGAGGGCTTGTACAAGGTTACTGCTACAAGGTGAGGGCTTGTACAAGGTTGCTGCTACAAGGTGAGGGCTTGTACAAGGTTGATGCTACAAGGTGAGGGCTTGTACAAGGTTGATGCACAATGGGGTTGTACAAGGTAGATGCTACAACATGAGGGCTTGTACAAGGTAGATGCTACAACATGAGGGCTTGTACAAGGTAGATGCTACAACATGAGGGCTTGTACAAGGTAGATGCTACAACATGAGGGCTTGTACAAGGTAGATGCTACAACATGAGGGCTTGTACAAGGTAGATGCTACAACATGAGGGCTTGTACAAGGTTGATGCAGCAAGTAAGGTGACTGAAAGACCTAGCCCAAAGGAAACGCGTAAGGTTCCCAGGCGGGTGAGACGTATTGGCAAGTCACCTTACACCTGCTGACACTGTTCGTCTAGCACCTGAATGTTAGTCGACCCTTGTGGGTGGTAGTATATATACCTTAGACAAGGTTGGGATTTGAAGTGGTCTGAGGTAGGAGTAATATTCAGTCCAGTGAATCATCGCCCCTACGACCTGGTCTCAGATCACATCTCTTAAATTGAAAATCAGCATTTATATGACTAAAAGCCGCTAATAAACCCACAGAGATACATATACACTGATGGTAAGAAGTTGTTGGTAAGATTTAGGTGACATCTTACGTCTTCATGAGATACAGAAGATTGTGAATTCTGGCACAGTGCAAAATATATAGCAAGCTTCGATTGTAGGGTGCTGTTTATACTGTTTTTGTCGTGTTGCAACGTGAGGTTGCGAGAGGTTGCTGTCATTGCTGTGCTGGCAGCAATCTTGCTGGGGTGTAATACTTTTACTAGTTAATCTTGCACTGTGTACAATCGGATTTTTAATTGTTGTTCAAGGTTTGTGCTGAAATACGGGGTTAAACAGGGCTGCTGCTGCTTCTGTTGCTGTTACTGTTGCTGCAATAAGACTGTTGTCGCTGCTGTTACTGTTATTGCTGCAATAAGACTGTTGTCGCTGCTGTTACTGTTATTGCTGCAATAAGACTGTTGTCGCTGCTGTTACTGTTATTGCTGCAATAAGACTGTTGTCGCTGCTGCTGTTGTTATTGCTGCAATAAGACTTGTCGCTGCTGTTATTGTTATTGCTGCAATAAGACTGTTGTCGCTGTTGTTACTGTTATTGCTGCAATAAGACTGTTGTCGCTGATGTGACTGTTATTGCTGCAATAAGACTGTTGTCGCTGCTGTTACTGTTATTGCTGCAATAAGACTGTTATTGCTGCAATAAGACTGTTGTCGTTGCTGTTACTGTTATTGCTGCAATAAGACTGTTGTCGTTGCTGTTACTGTTATTGCTGCAATAATACTGTTGTCGCTGCTGTTACTGTTATTGCTGCAATAAGACTGTTATTGCTGCAATAAGACTGTTGTCGCTGCTGTTACTGTTATTGCTGCAATAAGACTGTTCTCGCTGCTGTTACTGTTATTGCTGCAATAAGACTGTTGTCGCTGCTGTTATTGTTATTGCTGCAGTAAGACTCTGTTGTCGCTGCTGTTACTGTTATTGCTGCAATAAGACTGTTATTGCTGCAATAAGACTGTTGTCGCTGCTGTTACTGTTATTGCTGCAATAAGACTGTTCTCGCTGCTGTTACTGTTATTGCTGCAATAAGACTCTGTTGTCGCTGCTGTTACTGTTATTGCTGCAATAAGACTGTTGTCGCTGCTGTTACTGTTATTGCTGCAATAAGACTGTTGTCGCTGCTGTTACTGTTATTGCTGCAATAAGACTGTTGTCGCTGCTGTACTGTTATTGCTGCAATAAGACTGTTGTCGCTGCTGTTACTGTTATTGCTGCAATAAGACTGTTGTCGCTGCTGTTACTGTTATTGCTGCAATAAGACTGTTGTCGCTGCTGTTATTGTTATTGCTGCAATAAGACTGTTGTCGCTGCTGTTACTGTTATTGCTGCAATAAGACTGTTGTCGCTGCTGTTACTGTTATTGCTGCAATAAGACTGTTGTCGCTGCTGTTACTGTTATTGCTGCAATAAGACTGTTCTCGCTGCTGTTACTGTTATTGCTGCAATAAGACTCTGTTGTCGCTGCTGTTACTGTTATTGCTGCAATAAGACTGTTGTCGCTGCTGTTACTGTTATTGCTGCAATAAGACTGTTGTCGCTGCTGTTACTGTTATTGCTGCAATAAGACTGTTGTCGCTGCTGTTACTGTTATTGCTGCAATAACTGTTGTCGCTGCTGTTACTGTTATTGCTGCAATAACTGTTGTCGCTGCTGTTACTGTTATTGCTGCAATAAGACTGTTGTCGCTGCTGTTACTGTTATTGCTGCAATAACTGTTGTCGCTGCTGTTACTGTTATTGCTGCAATAACTGTTGTCGCTGCTGTTACTGTTATTGCTGCAATAACTGTTGTCGCTGCTGTTACTGTTATTGCTGCAATAAGACTGTTGTCGCTGCTGTTACTGTTATTGCTGCAATAAGACTGTTGTCGCTGTTGTTACTGTTATTGCTGCAATAAGACTGTTGTCGCTGCTGTTACTGTTATTGCTGCAATAAGACTGTTGTCGCTGCTTGTACTGTTATTGCTGCAATAAGACGTTGTCGCTTTGTTACTGTTATTGCTGAATAAGACTGTTGTCGCTGCTGTTACGTTATTGCTGCAATAAGACTGTTGTCGCTGCTGTTACTGTTATATGCTGCAATAAGACTGTTGTCGCTGCTGTTACTGTTATTGCTGCAAAAGACTGTTGTCGCTGTTGTTACTGTTATTGCTGCAATAAGACTGTTGTCGCTGCTGTTACGTTATTGCTGCAATAAGACTGTTGTCGCTGCTGTTACTGTTATTGCTGCAATAAGACTGTTGTCGCTGTTGTTACTGTTATTGCGCAAAACTGTTGTCGCTGCTGTTACTGTTATTGCTGCAATAAGACTGTGTCGCTGCTGTTACTGTTATTGCTGCAATAGACTGTTGTCGCTGCTGTTACTGTTATTGCTGCAATAAGACTGTTGTCGCTGTTGTTACTGTTATTGCTGCAATAAGACGTTGTCGCTGCTGTATACTGTTATTGCTGCAATAACTGTTGTCGCTGCTGTTACTGTTATTGCTGCAATAAGACTGTTGTCGCTGCGTTACTGTATTGCTGCAATAACTGTTGTCGCTGCTGTTACTGTTATTGCTGCATAAGACTGTTGTCGCTGCTGTTACTGTTATTGCTGCAATAAGACTGTTGTCGCTGTTGTTACTGTTATTGCTGCAATAAGACTGTTGTCGCTGCTGTTACTGTTATTGCTGCAATAAGACTGTTGTCGCTGCTGTTACTGTTATTGCTGCAATAACTGTTGTCGCTGCTGTTACTGTTATTGCTGCAATAAGACTGTTGTCGCTGCTGTTACTGTTATTGCTGCAATAAGACTGTTGTCGCTGCTGTTACTGTTATTGCTGCAATAAGACTGTTGTCGCTGCTGTTACTGTTATTGCTGCAATAACTGTTGTCGCTGCTGTTACTGTTATTGCTGCAATAAGACTGTTGTCGCTGCTGTTACTGTTATTGCTGCAATAAGACTGTTGTCGCTGTTGTTACTGTTATTGCTGCAATAAGACTGTTGTCGCTGCTGTTACTGTTATTGCTGCAATAAGACTTGTCGCTGCTGTTACTGTTATTGCTGCAATAAGACTCTGTTGTCGCTGCTGTTACTGTTATTGCTGCAATAAGACTGTTATTGCTGCAATAAGACTTGTCGCTGCTGTTACTGTTATTGCTGCAATAAGACTGTTGTCGCTGCTGTTACTGTTATTGCTGCAATAAGACTGTTGTCGCTGCTGTTACTGTTATTGCTGCAATAAGACTCTGTTGTCGCTGCTGTTACTGTTATTGCTGCAATAAGACTGTTGTCGCTGCTGTTACTGTTATTGCTGCAATAAGACTCTGTTGTCGCTGCTGTTACTGTTATTGCTGCAATAAGACTGTTGTCGCTGCTGTTACTGTTATTGCTGCAATAAGACTGTTGTCGCTGCTGTTACTGTTATTGCTGCAATAAGACTGTTGTCGCTGCTGTTACTGTTATTGCTGCAATAAGACTGTTGTCGCTGCTGTTACTGTTATTGCTGCAATAAGACTGTTGTCGCTGCTGTTACTGTTATTGCTGCAATAAGACTGTTGTCGCTGCTGTTACTGTTACTGCTGCAATAACTGTTGTCGCTGCTGTTACTGTTATTGCTGCAATAAGACTGTTGTCGCTGCTGTTACTGTTATTGCTGCAATAAGACTGTTGTCGCTGCTGTTACTGTTACTGCTACAAGAGGTAAGAGATGTCGAGAGAGGATGCTGGTATAAGACTCAGATTTTATCTGTCATCTTGCAGGGTGCTGGCGAGGCTGTAGCAGTGTGGAAGCAGCAGATGCTGATAGAGGTGGACACCTGCTGCACTCAGCTTGTGTAGGAAGCTGTAGGAGTATATGCCAGGCGGGGGTGCAACAGGAAGGGTGCCGGTGTAGGGGTCCTGGGTGGGGGTGGTGGCGACGTCGGAGGGGGAGGTGTCAGAGTGGACAGTGTGAGGGGGACTGTCGGAATATGGACAGTGGGGGGCTGCCGCCCCCTTCCTCAGCCGCCACCACCACCACCCATTCCTTGTGCTGTCCGCCGCCAACACCTTCCTCCACCCCCAACACCACCACCACTACCATCACCACTACGACCACCACTACCACAACCACCAGTAGCAGGAGCTGCATGACCACACACTGGCCAAGATGGAGGAGTGGAGCACCTCCACACCCGTCTCTTCTAACCATACTTCTCCTCCTCATCGTCACCTCAGCCAGACTTACAGGTCAGTAATTATCTTTAGTGTTACCTAGTTATCACTATCTATTGTATCTATCTGTCGTTATCTATTGTATCTCTAACTGGGAAAGTGAACAAAGATTTTTATATTTTCAATGTTGGTGTAACAGTGAACAAAGTTAAATCAGAGGCTGTTACAGTGAAAAGCACTGTTCCACCGGCACGGTATTCTTCCTTATTCTCTCTCATAACCCACATTCCTAGTGGAAGGCCTCGGCCAGGTGACCAAAACCTCCAGCTGTGGGTCATCATACGACTACCTGGAGGTTACCTGGAGGTTATTCCGGGGATCAACGCCCCCGCGGCCCGGTCCACGACCAGACCATGACTAAGACCCGCGTCAGGAAACACTTGTCCTGTTTCCTGACAAACCTCCCCTCAAGGGAGGTTCCTTGATGCTGGTGAGGGGCTCTTGATCTAGGGAATTGGATCTGTGCTCCAGTTCCCTGTATCGAGCCTGAATACCTTCCATAACCCCCCCCCAATGTGCTATATAATCCTATGGTTTTAGCGCTCCCTCATGATTATAATAATAATTATAATCCTGACAAACCTTGTTGTTAGGTAAGACACATATGCAACAGTTAGGTATCTTTATTTCGAAACGTTTCGCCTACACAGTAGGCTTCTTCAGTCGAGTACAGAAAAGTTGATAGAAGCAGAAGATACTTGAAGACGATGTAATCAGTCCATTCCCCTTAAAGTTTTGAGGTGGTCAGTCCCTCAGTCTGGAGAAGAATGGAACAATGCTCTTCTCCAGACTGAGGGACTGACCACCTCAAAACTTTAAGGGTGATGGACTGATTACATCGTCTTCAAGTCTCTTCTGCTTCTATCAACTTTTCTGTACTCGACTGAAGAAGCCTACTGTGTAGGCGAAACGTTTCGAAATAGAGATACCTAACTGTTGCATATGTGTCTTACGTAACAATCTGTCGGTATTTTATACCATTTTACTGACAAACCTTACCTAGCCATATGCCTAGGTAAGGGGGTCGACCCCCCTGGGTGTTCCGGGGGGGTCGACGCCCCTGCAGCCCGGTCCGTGACCAGACCTCGAGACAGATCACCGTATCTTTGTCAACAATACTATAATTTTTAATAAAACTCTGTTTAATAAGCTCCTTAAGTTTAGTTGCTGATGAGTCGGAGAGTGTGTTTAATAAGCTCCTTAAGTTTAGTTGCTGATGAGTCGGAGAGAGTGTAATGAAAGTAAATATAGGTAGTTTGTAAGATTATTCTGTTATCTTTCTTGAATGAGACAGGAACAGACCAGGAATTATGTCAGAGTGCAAAACTTTTAGCTTGGTAACGTTTAACACTAATTTCAGTGGTAATGCTTCTCTGAATGGTTGCTGACTACCACCCTAGTACCGTAGGGCCCCGCTTATACAGCGGATTGGGTCCCGGGCTATTGTTTTAAAGCGAAAATTGCTGTAAAGTGAACCATAGCGTTTTTCACTTTCAGATGCATACAAAAGCCTGATAATATGTTTACACTATCATATATTAAGTGAACAATAGAGCTAAGGCTAAAAAATATATATACAGTATACACATTACTTAAAATATCTACATCCTTAGCTTATAATGAGTGGTAAATACAGTGGACCCCCGCATAACGATTACCTCCGAATGTGACCAATAATGTAAGTGTATTTATGTAAGTGCGTTTGTATGTTTGGGGGTCTGAAATGGACTAATCTACTTCACAATATTTCTTATGGGAACAAATTCGGTCAGTACTGGCACCTGAACATACTTCTGGAGTGAAAAAATATCGTTAACCGGGGGTCCACTGTATATTGTAGGAAGTCGGAATAAATTAAAAATGGGTGTAATTGAAAACCGCTGCATTAGCGAAACGCCGTAAAGCGAAGCGGTATAAGATGGGACCTGCCTGTACCTGTTGTTATCTTAGTGGCACGATCACTGTCATGCTGACGATTTGATTTAAGGCTTTATAATGCACCACAACCCGGCTTATCAGCCGGGTGGTGGTGCCGGCGTTTGACTGTTTTCTGCTAGCACCCTCTCCTTATCCCCTCATTCCAATCCTCTCCACTCTTCCTTTATTCTCCCTATCCATCCTTTACTTTTTTTCATAATTCCGTTTTGCGTGCGGGATAGGCCAGACTGAGATGATTTCCTAGTAATGGTAACTATACCTCCGTTGGAAGATAACCTTTGAAGCTGTCGTACCCACTGAACCATAATGGAATGTTTGATCATATCTTCAGCGTTCTACAGTGTCTCTTTGATGTATTTAAACATCGTATACGCTGAAAAATGGTAGACAAACATAGGTTAAATAACAAAAAGGCACAATACCGTGACTGGAACGATACACAAATAACCCGCACATAAAAGAGAGAAGCTTACGACGACGTCGTAAGCTTCTCTCTCTTATGTGCGGGTTATTTGTGAAACATAGGTTAAGTTTTCTTATCGGCACTTAACTATCGATTATGTAGAGTAGGACACCAGCATGCTGATGGTGTATCCAAATTTGTAGGATACAAAAAGAAGTCTTTTATCTTCTTCCTTTGCCCCCTCTCACATTCCCTGCCCCTCTTACCATCTCTACCTGCCACCCCTTTCCCTCCTCCCGCTGTGTACTTCAATTGGTGTGCATGGAGTGTTGTGGTGGTGTGCTGCAACAGTCTTCCCTCCTGGCATCTCTAGCGTTACCCACACACTTCCTTCTTACTCTTCCTAAACATCCACCAACATCATCTCACTTTCTTTACTGGGTTTGAGCTTTACAAATTTCTTCCTGTTCAGCTTTGTTAACCTGTTCCTTTGTACTGTCCTTGTTTGCCTGACTTTGGTGACTTATTCTTGTATAGTCGGTTTGTTCAGTTTAGTTAACTCGTTGTTTTACAGCCGTGTTTACTACCTTCATACTCACTAAAACCAGGAACTATTGTAAATGCCTGCCAGTACTTGGAATGTACTCAGGAGCACTTGGAATATTTTCTCTGCGGCGGTAGAGAGAGTAATAATTTCTACAAGTACATGTACAAGGTATACAGACCATAGCTGACATCAATGATATATTACTATCTAGAAAGCCACTTGCTATGCTGAGCATTTCCCGCAAATTAGGTTACATTTACCCCCAGGATGCGACCCATACCAGTCGACTAACACTCGGGGTACCTATTTTACTGCTAGGTGAACAGTGACAGCAGGTGTCTTAAGGAAACATCCTGATGTTTCCACCCGTAACGGGGGTTAAACCACGGACCTCAGTGTGTGAGCCGAGTGCGCTACCAATCGAGCGACGGGAAGATATTCGAGACCAGGCCCCCCAAATCGGCATATTGCAAAGACCTGTAGGAACACAAGAATGAGCACCTTAGTAGGTCTACTAGCCCATACTAGGCTGGTCTTTCTCAAATCCAATCATGCCCACGCACATATTTCTCCAGTCTATACTCAGAGTTGCTTACAAACTTAACTTACAGGCTGAGGGACTGACCACCTCAGCACCATATAGCTGAGCTCTTCTCCAGGCTGAGGGACTGACCACCTCAGCACCATATAGCTGAACTCTTCTCCAGGCTGAGGGACTGACCACCTCAGCACCATGTAGCTGAGCTCTTCTCCAGGCTGAGGGACTGATCGCCTCTTCAATATGTCGGTATTTTATTCCATTTTCAACAACATCTGGGTAACTGTAAGCATTTCACGATTAAGTTGCTTTATCAACACAGATTCGAGGACATAATGGGGTGACTGTAGAAGGCGAGGTAATCAGTCCCTCAGTCTTAGAGTTTAAGAGTACGGGAGTGATTACCTCATCTTCAGTATATAGTTATATAGTCTTCCCATTATGTCCTTGTATTGATCGACACTGGATGGCGAAACGTCTACGGAGATACCCAGGAGTTGCACACACGTCTAAGTCTTCAACTTGTCGGTACTGTCATTCTTAATTCACATAGAAGAGAGGAGCTTACGACGACGTTTCGGTCCGACTTTGACCAAAACGTCGCCTCCAAAAATTTTTATAGCGGTGAGTCGAAAGGTGCCTCATGACACACTTATCTGGTTCATGTGTGCTATAGGCGGTGGAGGAGGTGGGCGTGCGGGCGTGTGGAGGAGACGCAAGCGGGCGTGGTAGTCACTTAAGGAGGGAGGGGGGGCGACAGGTGGCGGGCCGTCACGGTGGCGGGGTCGGCAAGCCCCGCGGCTCCGCCCCTGGCTGGCCGCACCCGCCCGTCCGGAACACCCGCCGCCCACAACTACTCCTGCCGCCCACCGCCTCCCCCAGCCAATCATGGACGGGCGTGGTGCAGGTGTTCACTTTCTGTTCCTGTTGACTTGTCCGCTGCTCTCCTTTCCGCCAGGTTACCAGGGATGTCTGCAAGAACACGTACAGGTCAGGTCATTTGCTGGAATAAAATCTGTAAAGGGGGCTATATCTGCAAAAACACGTACAGGTCAGGTCATTTGCTGGAATAAAATCTCCTGTAAAGGGGGGCTATATCTTCTTTCCTGGAGATTTTTCTCCACACGTTTCACCACGAGAGACTTCAGTCCCAATACAGAGGTAACTAAGAAACTATCGATATGGTATACAATACCGACAGGTTGGTAGGTAAGACACATGGGCAATAGTTAGGCATCTTTATTCCGAAACGTTTCGCCTACACAGTAGGCCTCTTCAGTCAGATACAAAGGGAGCAGTAGTAATGAAAAAAAATGTAATCGGTCCATCAACCCTGGAGAAAAAGTATTTGAGGTGGTCAGTTCCTCAGCCTGGAGAAGAGTTCACCTCCATGGTCTGGAACAAGGTGGTCAGTCCCTCATCCTGGAGAAGAGTTCAGCACCATGGTCTGGAACAAGGTGGTCAGTTCCTCAGTCTGGAGAAGAGTTCACCTCCATGGTCTGGAACAAGGTGGTTAGTTCCTCAGCCTGGAGGAGATTTCACCTCCATGGTCTGGAACAAGGTGGTCAGTTCCTCAGCCTGGAGGAGAG